ATACATATATAAATATAATTCATATATAATAATAATAATAATAATAATAATAATATATATATTCATACATACATACATACATACATACATACATACATGCATACATATATATAAATATATAATATAATATAATAATATAATAATATAATAATATATATAATAATAATAATAATAATAATAATAATAATAATATATATATGTATATACATATATATTCGTTTTTTATGGACACATTAGTCCCGATCTCCCTCTAAGCATGTAGTTGTCTAGCTATGTGAGTATCTCGAGATATAAGATGTAGCAGGTGTGCCTAACGATACAAGAGAGTGAGACTTGTGGTACAAACTAACCCCAACTCTTCCAAACAAAAGGGGCAGGTACACCAACCCAGCCAAAGCGGCGAAGCACCGGTGTGTACTCGTCCATACCTTTGTACTGCAGTCGAAGGCGATGATATCGATATCGGACCTGTCGCAGCACTTCTTAAACATGCGCTCGTCAACTGGCCTGAGGCACACAATGTCGTATGACCCCAACACACTGCGCTGGCGGTCCTGCACCCGGGCCAGGGGAAAAGGGACAGGGCAGACACGAGCACGAGCATAAGAGATATGTATCAATCAACAGTGCAGGACAATGTGGTGGTTTTATATGGCATGAGTAGGTACAGTACTTAATAAAGGTATTTCTGTCGTATGACCCCAACACACTGCGAAGGCGATCCAGCACCATGGTCAGGCAGCGACGTACGGAACACACTTTGATTTAAGACTGCATTCGGCTCATGTTGCTTGTGCATGTGTTGTGTATATTTGGTACGGTTATCGGTACTTTCCTATGAAGCGAATTCATATCGTATGGGCACTACATTCATTACATTCATGGTGCCACAGCGGCATGGGATAAGGGAATCGGACGCTGCAGTGTAATTGTGTACTGCATTTATATAGCATGTGTATGTGCACTCAATTGTGGTAGGTATATGTATAACACATAGTAGGTATATGTGTAACACAATAGTTGGTATATGTGTGCTCCTCCCTATAGCATGCGTATGTACACTTCGTAGTTGGGTTTTGATGTTTTAGGGTTCAGGGCTTGATGTGTATGTACACTTCGCAGTGGGGTAGGCTGAGTCTTATGAGCCCTGTACACTGCGCGGAGGACCCTTCTCAATGGCCAGGCAACGAAGCGTCTATAATAAAACGTATATATATATATATATATAATAAATAAAATATAGAATATATGTATATATATACATATACATATATAATATAC